TGAGCACATTTTCTTGTAAGATTTTTCACGTGATTTTATTTCAGTTTAATTACCCAGTTTACAAAAAAATCCACACAAAGCATTCTTTAAATACATCTGAGCTGAAAACTGTTGTGGCTCAGACAAAGGGAATAGCGGCACTGAAGTAGACTATTTGTCTGAAATGTATATAGCTTTGGAGGTTCATAGACTAGCTTGATTAGTAATTGGGAGAAAAACTGTTCCTTAGTTTAGTTACCAACAAATGCAGTACTTTGTATCAATTATTTGGCCGACTGCTGAAAGTACATTGGAATGAGAGGCACTGGCTAATCTTTGCCCTTACTAACATGAATACTGCAGAATGCAGATGAGTAATTAAAGTATAGAATGTGGAAAATTAGGCCAAAATTGAATGGAAATGAATAAGCATGCATTCTGTTGTACAGATGTTGGAAACAGATTATTTTGGACCCCACTCACTATCTGCATCTTATTTGGTTACTATGTAAAATCAGTCATATGCCATGTAGATTGTTTCTCTTCTCATTGCTTTTTCCTTCTTTATGTTGTGATGTAGCTGTATAGGTAGTAATTTAGCAAAAATATCCTGTCTGCCAGGTGTGGGAACTAGCTGATTGTATTGTAATACCAAATCATTACTTAATTCATATGCAACATAACCTAGCACATGGAAAGCATTATAAATCTATTTACAGTGTGGCTGGTCTGATGATAACATTGTATTAAATTCCCAGGTGAGGCAATTTAAGCAATTGCTTTGCCATGTGTAGGCCATGGAAATTAACTTCTCGTATGCTTTAGTAATAGACTAACTTCATTGTTATTCTCAGATTAGTCATATAGCTGGATTCTTACAGTCTGGTTACATGTACCTTACTTCACATATAAAATCATACAGGGAGGGAGTGGTTCTGCAGATTACAGTTCTTAATTAGTTTAAATTGAGTTAATTCATTTCAGTTCTAATTTAGCTGTGACTACCCACGAACACATTCAGTTCTGTTGGGAAATGTTAAGACTTGGGTCAAGCAGACAGATTGTTTAAAGCCAAATTGCCAGACAGAACTGAGCAAGTGTATCTGTTTGAACAGGGCTTTAAGAAAATCACCCAATCAGTATGCAAAAATCCTGCTCGTAAACCAAGGGAGATCTGCCTGGAATCAAAAATTCTTCCTTGGCATAAGGTCTCGATATTGTAGTACATTTAAAGCAGCTGCTGAAACTTTCTCTGTCCTTATGTTCTTGTGGAAAGTAGCTTAACCTTTTTGCCAATTTGTTTGCTTGTGTACATAGTCCTATGCACGATTTTGAGTGTAAACGTGTATGGGGAGATACTCAGGAGTGTTAAACACTCTTGTGCGCACAGACCTTGCACGTAGACATATACTGCGAAATACAAGAAAAACTTCTGCCGTATTTGACAAACCTTTGCAGAGGAAAACTACACAGAAGCTCTTAAACCCATATTGAGCTGCCCAGAAAATGCATTGGATTACAAACTCTGTAACGCTTCTGTCTTTCTAGAAACATACATATAAAGTACCAGTAGACAGTGGTAACTGACAACTAAGACTAAAAATGTTGACAATTTCTTGATTTGCCTGGTTAGCTTATGTATAGAAGTCATTAACTATTTATAAAATGCATTATGAATTGGATTCCTTCAAACTGTAGCAGTGTGTGTGACATTTCCAGCTCAAACTATCATGCTTGCATTTGGCTAAAGTACATATTTATATCCAGATAATAGTTATGAAGTAGAATAAATCGTAAAACACATTTATAATTGTCACATTCAGAAGAGCTGTTTTGTTATCATTAATTTTGATTAGCCACATGTAAAAAAGTCTTAGCAATATTACTTCAATTATTATTTTTTATTCAAGAAGTGAATGTATTGATATATTGGACAAATCCTAATAGGACAAATGAATGCTTTAGTTCAAAGGCCTTTCCTTTTATATTATTGATTCATTTGGTGGTATAACTATGATCAAAAGTAGTATCAAATTATTTATTGATTATGGCAGAGAGTTACACCTAATTGTAGACAAAGGGTTATTTCTTTCAATGCAACTGCTGATTTTTCAAATCACGACAGACCATTGCAATAATAGTAGGTGATCCAAACATAGTTATTAACTACACTAGTAAAGATGAGAAGGGCATTTATACTGTCTTTTAAAAATTAGAATTATTGCTAAAAGTGCATTTTTGTCGTAAAGAATACTTTTTTCCACTTAGAGTTCCTTAAAACTTCAGTCATTCAGATGAATAAGTAACCAAGGACCATCTGAATCTCTCCTTTATAATTAGCCAAGTTGCATATGGGGTGGAAAGCTCCATGAAGTGTTGTTTACCATTTCAATATAATAATGACATGTATGGTTAACATTACCAGAATCTGTGAAGCTAAGCTATTATGTGAAATACAGTTAAACTGCTGGACCTCAGATGTGGAGATTGGATCTTAACCAAAAAAGATTAGATATTAATCGACCCATATTTGTAATTTCCTTCCTTGTTTGATGTATATCAAATAAAAAATAGGAAAATAATATAATTGAGCAATCTATGCCAATTTGTTGGCTTTTGGGTGAAAAAAGAGAAAAACAAAACCCATCTCCATATGATATTCTTGCACACTGTGGAGTGTTTTAGTCCCCCATAGTGATGAAATGAATAATTTAAACAGGCAGCTCTGATACCACTGCCTGTTTAAAGGTTCTCATTTCCTTTAATGCTGTAGACTACTTTTGCTTGGTTAGTATGAAACTGCTGCGGCTGAGATCTCCAAATGGGGAAAAAGAGATTTGGCACAATTCAGTTCTTGTAGTAGGTCCATGGTATGCTTTATTCTTGCTATGTACAGCTGTAGCGATAGTATATCATCTGGTGCTGAACACTAGCAGTTGCATCACAAATTGGTAAGCATTACAATGATGATGAGCATGGAAGGGCAAGCTTAAATCACAGGGGATAAACAGCAAAGCTGTCTTGCAGGTGAGCTGGGTGGTGCCATGGCTTAAACCATTGCTAGTTTTCCTTCCCAGTGGCGACGCTTCCACACCTTTGTTTGGTCACAGGTGCAGTGAATTTCCATGGGCTCAGTATAATTGCTAGTGGATGGTCATCTACATCCCAAAGTGAGGCACATTTTTGACGCAGTTGACAGACTGATCAGGAAAGGGTTTGGGCTAAGTGATCACTACAGGTCAAAACTGGAGTGCTTTGTTAAAGCGGGCAGGGAGTTCCACTCTAGAAGCATTTGTACACGTGTTTGTGCCGCAGCACCAGGCGCTTTTAAAAGCACCCAGCGCTGCAGCGCATGCATTTGTATGAACGGGGAAATACGCATCAGCGCTGAGAAAATGGCAGCGGCGCGCTTTTGAACTAAAACGCGTCAAAGATGTGTTAGATCAAAAGTGCACCGCTGCCATTTTCTGTGCACTGACGCGCATTTCGCCACTTACACAACAGCATGTGACACAACACGGCGCGTGTCAGCTCACGTGCAGAGCAGACTCGATGGAGTCTGCTCTGATGTGCCAGTCCCGGCGTGTCACAGCACGAAAATAGATGTGTATAAATGCCCCCTGATTCTAGCTGCTCTTGTTTCTTCCACTCATGAACCTTGACACTAGTCATATTCAGATTCATTTCATAAAGAAAATAAGCAACTGTAAAACAAAGGTGAAAATCCTTTTTCTCTCACTAATGGAAACAAAAAAGTTAAGCAGGAACAAAGAAAAGCAATTTTATCAGTCGTTGGGGGGAAAAAAAAAAGAAAAAAGTTGAAGACTTTCCTTTAACTTGCTCCACAAAATTCGCCGCTCCAGCTTGATGCTTCAGAGACCCTGAAACAGGCATCTGATCAGTTGTTTGCAGTTGCTTGTAACGTTCTCCAGAATGCTAATTTAGAGTCAATAAGGTTGAATATTGAATGAACTATTCTGGAATTTGAAAACTGTACAAGTGATAACACATCCTCTCACAACAATCCTTCATAAGGCTTTCTGATACAGTAACATCTCTGTTATCTGGTACTTCACCAACCGGAATACCTCATTAACTGGAATTTTGGCGCCACGCCACTTTGCCTCCTGCTGCGCCGCTGAAAGCGGCGGGACGCACATGGCCGTGCTGCACCGTGCCGCTTTGCCTCCTGTTGCGCGGGGGGCGGGAGGGGAAGCTCACGCCGGCCCCCCACCCCTCCTCTCGCCGCTCCACGTCCAGCCAGAAACCCTGTGCCTTAGGTAACCGGCACTTTTAGCTTACTGGCCCCCCTCATTCCCTACTTGTGCTGGATAACAAGGATTTTCCTGTATTTCTAAATTCTGCTGTATTTATAGAAAAGCAAAGTAAACTCATCTTTCCCCTATATCATAGTTTCCTTTCTCGTCTTCATTTTCTTCTGGGCCTTTCCCTGTAGGCCTTTACAACCCTGGCAGCAAAAGAAAGACTTGCTCATTTTGTCCGTGTCGTTTTCAACCCATGTTGTCAAATGTACACTGGTAAAAAGTCATTTATTTTGAGATGAGAAAATCCAGTCCTCCTTCCCTGTTTAGTGACATCATTACTGTTATTTCAAGAGTTCCCATTCTAGATATATATATAAAAAAAAAGATGTCTTCAGATAAGAGCTTTTCTTCCTATGTTCATACATTTGCAATGGTTCTGCTACAGTCACTTTAATATTTTTTTTACATTTTCTAGTCATCCGGAGAGCACGTACATATTAATATCCCTTTGCTTGTCTAGGCTAGGCTTGTTGACAAAACTTCAGAATGTGACTCTTCAAAATCCCACCAAGTGTGTTGAGGTTTCCCCATTAATATTTATAGAAATCTGCAGCTGAAGAACTTTTCAATAACTTTACTTGTAGATTTTATCAAATAGGTATCCATTAGGGGGCTCTCGAGGTTTAAGATGATCAGCCGTGATACCAATGGCTTCGGAGCTTTACTTCCTAACCCTTTTTTCTTTTTGTTTTACAGAAAAGGTCACGGATCGCCTACAGTGACGAGGTGCGGAATGAGCTCCTAGGGGATGATGGGAATTCCTCAGAGAACCAGGTAGGATGCTAATCAAGAAGCCCTAGTGGGTGGCTGGAGGGTGAAGGAGGTCACTGGCACACTGGGCTTCTCAAGCTGCTCCTTAACAGCATTAGCAACAACTCATGTGGAAGTGATACTGTTTAATGCAAAGCTGGGGTCTTAATCAACTTCAAAATGTTTCTCGGAGATCTTACATTTAACCCTTTACCTTGTGATCACTGTCTGCTATCTTAAAAAAAATCTTTTCTTCTCTTTTCTTTATTATTTAGTACTTAAGGAATAACTTGAAACGCACTGTTTGCCGACAAAGCCAAGGTCTTCACCTCAAACACATGTAAAAGGAATTTAAAAAGTACATAATGCAGCTTTGATAATAATGCAGTATAATTAAATCAACACTGGCAGGCAAAACAAATGAAAGTGAGCTCTCAGATTGAGACAGTACCCCACTCGGTTTCCTTGCGTGCCCTCCTTTCATAACCAGGTTTTTTTCCCCTTGTCCAAAATATACAACTTGCATTGATAAAAGTAGTTTTAACACACACACACACACACACACACACACGTACGTTTAATAGTATATGTCCCTTTTTTATGGAGGGAGACTTAATAGCTCTAAGCCTTTCTTGAGTTTTTTATCATGGCTGTGCGACACAGGACATGGCATTAAAGATTTGTGTTAACCATTGAAAATTCTAAAGGAAACACTATATACAAGGGAGGTTTATCCCACCTGTTAATATTTTATCCGGCGTTGAAAACTTGTTTTACAGGCCCTGTCGGAAAACACAATTCTCTTTTTAAAACCAATTCCCCTTTCTTAATCCACACCACAATTAAAGTTGTGGCCTTTGTCAGTTAGAAGTTCAAGTTTTCTTGAATGGAATACTCTTTTCTGAGATGATGCAACTCAAATACCTTTGATTTTATAAGCGAAGCTTTGCAATTGATTTTTTTTGACAGTGGCCAGATTCTGACATTTTTTTTTCTATTCTTACTTCAAAATGAGTTGGCCCTGAGTACAGGCTAGTGACAACTAAGTAAAGACCTTGTGATTTATCCTTAAATGTGCAGAGTACGGAGTTAGAAAAAAACCCCCGCGTGCTATGTCTGCTATTTGAAGAAATATGTTAAACAGCCACATTTTAATTAACATAACTGTGATACATATTTTAATAACATCATACATTATATACAAGACAATATGATTCTACACTGTTAATATGGAATTGCATACTTTTATAGTCTGTAACAGCGTTAGATCTCTATTCAAAGTGGTAGACATACAAGTTTAGTTCTTATATTTATTTATTATAGCAGGGGATTTTCCTGGGCTTGAACAAACTGAAAACTCCCTCTAATTTCCCTCTAATGCTAGTATGATGAAGATGATCATTTTGTTTTAGAAAAATAGCTTTCACAATTTGGCTATCGTCAACAAGGGTTCAACCATATAAAAAGATCTTAAGATATAAAACCAAAATTGTATCTTTAACAGCACTACTATTTTCATATTTCAAGAGAAATTTGAGTGAGATCAGACATAAAAGGGCAATTGTGATAAGAAGTTTTACTTATAACAGAATATGTAATGTGGGAGAACAAGATAAATTTTTTTCCCTGCTTTTTAAGGAATAGCTGAATAACTGATTCTTATATGAACCTTCTGCGAGTTGTGATCTCTTTTCTTAACTCTTGAGGGGTAGAGGATGGCCTTACCTCAAAGAATTGTATAATATTTTAAATTTAAAATTATTTATCAACAATTTTTTTACTTATAAAAGACCACTTTATATCTAGGGCAAAGTACAAAGGGACAAGTGATTTTACTGATGCTCCTCAGAAATCAGACTCTTCTAGCCACTGATGTCTTGACAGTGGTACCCTGTACTATTGGAAAGGTTAAGTTCTGTTTTCTTTTTGAGAAACTTCATGAAGTTCACTATGAATGAGAGAGCATCTTATTTCTTCTTTTAAATATGGAAAGACCAATATTCTTACAGAATTCCTTTGTATTACTTGGACTTATCCAATCATCTTCCTTTCTGTCATTTTTTTCATATGAAAATGAACATCTTTATCTGAGGAGCTCAGTAGACTTTTAATTACAGGAGTATAGATATAGGGCCATGTCTGTGGGTGGTTATCCTCCATACAAACTTCAGTATAAAACTGTTTGTACCAGCAGGTGCAGTTTTTTCAAATCAATAAATGTAGGTACTTATACATAAATAAGTAGCCTGTCATGTAAGTGTACTTAATCTATAAATGACTATCTTTTTGGTACAAATAAATACCGTATTGGACAAGCAAAGCTTTATAAAACTGTAGTACATCATAGTAAGAGAGGGGTCCTTCTAACATTTGCTTTTGCATTGTTTAATGGGAGTGTGCGCGCCTGGAATGACTAGCCTTAAATTTAGTTTTGCAGAGTTTTGACTGCTCAAACAATTATGTGTTGGCTTTAGGTTAAATAGGTGAAATGAAGAGCTGTTTTTCTTTCTCCAAACTTAGTTGTTTCTTCCTTGATGAATAAATCAATGAAAAACAGGTGCCAGCTAAGAATTGCTGCTCTAGCGAAGTAGAAATATTGGTAAATCCATCACTGGCGATGATAAGAATCTGGGCAGACTTAAGAGTTAGCCAGGTGAGACAGAGATAAACTTACAGGCTTGCACAATTTCTTAGATGGGCCACAGTCAGTCATATTAAATCTTTTATAACTTTTTTATAATGGAATATAATTATATATGATGGCACATTAAGTTGGCTTATAAGTAAGGTGAGGGTTAAGTGCAGACCCAGGTGTGTAGATGGTTTGGTGTTTGCTCAACTGTTAACTCTTTGTGTTTATCTTCCTGCAAATGGATCTTTTAACACAAGTGAATTGAGAGGTAAAGCAGTACATAGACTGTCTCCTACAGTTTTTTCCCCCCACAAAAAGCTCTGATTGGCAACAACTAATATTGTGAGTAACTTGCTAGTGGGGGGTATATTGCTCTTTTTTCCCCTAAGAAATGATCTCTGTTTGTATGGTTGACAAAAGTCCAAAAGAAGAAACAGTATGATTTAATGCTTACGCTGAGATATAACTAATTTATAATAGGTGTGCTATGTAAGAGTTACTGGAATTGTCAAAGTATGTATAAATTCCAGCAATCAAAATTTCTTTTAAAATACATGTCTTTGTTTAGCACGGTCGATATTAGTGCATTACTCTGAATGTATGCTGTATTTAATAAGTAATTGCTTGCTTTGTATACATTAATTTCCTCTTAATTCAAATCCATTGAACATAATCAGATAGAGCACACTCTGACTTACAGAAGAGGGAGACAAAAAACCTTCTCTGTATGTTTGGGTTATCTCTTTTTCCAGGAGCGTTGTCTTAAACACTACTATGTTCCTTTCAAGTCTTATTTGTCATTCTGACCAGCAGCATTTATCAAGTCCCTTGAAAGGCTTGAGCTTTTCAGTGTAGAGATACAGTACTCAAAGTTCTGGATTTACTTTAGTAGTTTTACAGTTGTTTTATGTGACGATTTCTAGTTTTAAAAAAGCACATAGAGGGTTAAATCAGAAACCCTTTGGTACCAAAAATAGTGTGCAGGTAATTATAGTATTACAGATCCTCTTGTTTGAAATGTAATACTGTTGCCTCAGGTTCCCAAACTCAAGACATTAAAGTTTTTTTACAAAATCCTGATTAGAAGGCTATGCACTATATATATATATATATATATAACACACATACATACACACACACACACACATACATACATATTAAATATATACACATATTATATATATATATATAAAAAAAATGTATGTGTGTGTATGTATGTGTATATAAATAATCATAATATCATATACTGCACGTGGAATTTCGTGGTGAACAAATATTTTGTGGCTAAATAATTTTTTACTACAAAGTTTTGATAATATTAGATTTGGGCTTGCTGTGCATAAAGTGTGTCAAACTTCAGCTACGGACCAGGGGGTAAAGTTGGTCAATTTAATTCCCCGAGATCTAAAGAAGGTCGGTATCATTTCATATAGCCCTGGCAGAGCAGATCATTACCAGACACAAATCTGTTGGTTACATGCCGAGGGTTTATAGCAAAATAAATAGACTGTCATCATAAGTTCAGAAAATTGTGTGTTCGACCCACGATAATGTGCAAAGGGTGTTTAATAGAGTTCAGCATTTATTCGTTATCTGTATGCGGACAGAGACGGCAGTAGCGTTATCAGCTTTAAAAAAAAAAAAATTCGGTAGTTTCCGAGGTCATGTGACACGCCTCACAGACACGCACGCACACACACACACACACACACACACACACTCTGCGGCGCAGTTTTGATTTTAGTCACAGCAGAAGGCTTAGCCACAAGAGATTCCACTGGTTCAAACCAGTGTAAACCAGATTTTTTTTAGCCTACAAAGGAACAGATTACCTCTTGTATCGAATTCCGTATTGAACAAAAAAAATCTTTGTTTCAGAAATATGCTGATTATCATAGCCTAAAATGGTGGCTGCACGCATTTGAATGTTGTTTACTGCCAAGTGGTACTCGTAATAAAATATATAACAAAATGGAGAAAAAAAAATAGACTTTCATCAAGTGCATTGCTAAATGGATAAAAAATACATCTTTTGTTAATCTGAATGAATATCTTTTGGCCAACGTTAAAAAAAAAAAAAAAAAAAAATCTCCCATTACCTAGCTTAGCTGCAAATCCTATGCAGAGCTTAAATTCAGCCATGCAGCACAAACAAGATAGAACATTTTTGTTTGGGACCTATTGAAAAAACAAATGTGCAGCATTTTAAAACTCTCATTGATTATAGCAGGGTGGCATGCCCCAAATGGTTTCTGTTGCAGGAGAGTAGTTTTAAACTTTGGCCCTTTAAGTATCATAGTCAACTGAAGAAGGTGACCTCAGAAAGAAAAGATAGCTATGTGATCAACTCCCAGATCGTCTTTTTTCTAAAGAGACTTACTGTTTGCCTTTTCAGGGGAAAAAGGGGGGGTGAAGATCGAGAGAGAGAGAGTGAGAGTCCGATTTATGATAGGCCAAGTACTTGAATTTAAGAACTGGTTTGGTGGGTAAAGAGCGTGGTTTTCTTTATACCAAATTCTTAGAAGATTCCTTTAACTAACATACTATAGTAACTGTTTCATTTTAAGATACTGCCATAGTTACCATCCTACTAATATCGAGTTCAAATTCTATCGCCTTGTCTTTTGGTGCGAGGATAGGGTATAATACCTTTTAGGTCTCAAATTGACCCTAAGAGACATAAAAGTACTAATAGAAATTCTGTTATTTTGTCTCTTGCTGGACAATCTTCATAGTGGTAAACATCTCATCCTGTACACGTTGAAAAATACCTTTGTGCAATAGTAGAGTTTGCAGTTTTATAAACAAAGACAATTATGTAGATGTTTTGTAGATGTAGATACATTTGTTGAGAGTAATTGTATTTTTTTTTTGTCCCAGTAACTAATGTACTTCTCTAAATGCAGAGCATGTTGCAACATACATGTTCAAACCAGCTATTTTAATGTTTCACAAATAATCCTGCGAGTACAATGTAATTAATGGTGTAAAGAAGGGTAAACTGCAGTAAAATGAACAGTTTTACAATCTTATTTTTTGTAAAAGTTTACAACATTTAGTGCTACAGAATTGCAGTGGAAACGAACAGTAGACTTTTTTTTTAAGAAGTCATGTTTTATACTGGTCCATATTCTTACTGTGAGTGATTTAAAAATACTGCACCTTGATTTAGCATTTGTGATTTAGCACAAAACCACAAATTGCTTCTTTTTTTTTTTTTTTTTTTTTTTTTTAAACTAAAAAGGAGCTGCTATATCAGGTTCAATAATAAATAGATAACACACTTGCAATATAAGCAAGACAGGCTGTAGAGATATTGTAACCTATTAATAAGTCAAATCTGTTAGTAAAATAATAAATCAGTTGTCAGAACTAAAATATACAGGAAACGTCCTGAAAACTTGTATATACAAAACCACTTCAGCCGTACAATCTTAGAAGAGAGGAATAGTAAACTTGTTTTTTTTCTTTATAATATAGACTTCTATGAAGTCATTCCCCTTTATTTCATGATGGTGTCTTAGATGTGGTTTAAAAGAGAATTTCACACTATTCTCTTTGTTTAATGTGACAGTGTGAGAAAGTGATCTTTATTCGTTCAAAAAACTCTGCATGTAGTCTATGTTTAGGTTCTTTTAATGTGTTTGTCTGTGATTTTTAAATGCTAAACATGTAAACAGATAAATTGTCAATGTTAATTCTGTATCCTGTCACACAACTGATCTTTCTTTCCTGCCATTTCTTTCCTTTTTATCTTTTTTGTGCGTTCATGTTGCAGTTGATAAAATTACGTGAAGAGGTGAGTACTTTCTTGCTTTTTGTTGTCTAGCTTTCCTTTTAAAGCTGAGTTTCCAAATCTGAAGGAGATCTTTCTGTTCACTGTTGCAGGGAAATCTACCCAAAGGAGAAATATTGATTATATTGCTTAAAAATATTCACTGTTGTGGGTCTTTCTTTTTTTTTTTCCCCCAAATAATTGCATACTTACATGGGAATCCCTAGACCAAACCATAGAAATTAAAAATTTCTGACAGCAGAGAAAAAAGTAAAGGCATTAAAAAAGGAGAAGAAAAGAAGAAAAAAACCAAACCCTGTATTATTTGATCTCTGCTAGAGTGCTCTGATCAAATCGGGTACAATAATAATTTTGTGTGCATCACAACATTTTCCATCGTTTGAGTACATTTGTACAGTAGTATTGCAAGTGAAAGGATTGCTTTAGTGAAAACCTCTGCTGAAACACTAAAATATATAGCACTTCAATGTGTATGGAATTTAAGGTAGGGCTATTGAAATACCTATTGTATTATGCTGGGTATTGGATACCCACTGAAAATATTGTACAGGTAGACATACACACATAGCAGTATTTATTATGCATTTGTGTGTATGCTGTAGATCTGTAGGTGCAACGCTAGAGATCAGTATTCCAAAGCAACTTTCGTTTCACTTAGGAAATGACTCATAAATATTTAGAAGCAGATGTCTAAGTTCTTCCGGCCAGTTATGCAGAATTAGTAGTATATTTTCTAAAAGCGCTGTCCACTTTTGTCTGTTGATTGTTCTAAAAAAGCACACGTTGAAACTGCTTTTATTATTTCACTCTCGATCCTGAGCACACATCAGAGTCACTAGCAGGCTAGATTTCTGAAGGGTTCGTTAACATGTTTTGAGTATGAAAATAAATACATTTAGAAGTGTTACTATTTGAATAGGGTATGTAACTCGAGTCTCTCTTTTTGCCATTTGGGTGAACCACGTGATAATAACGATGCACTGACAAATCGATAATGAATATTAAACTCTGGAAAAGGGTATTTGTAAGTGCTAAGCTTGATGATGAGAGGTGTGGGAACTAACCAAATTAATGGCTCTAAGGGGGAGTTCTTGATGTAATAATAACTTGATTTTTTTTTAGAATCTTAAAGTAATTTCTCTGATCATCTAGATCCCTTTTCCCCCAGCCCAGAATAGATCTAACATGAAATGGTTTGGTAATAAGCAGTAAAACACAGCTTTTAAAAAACCCCAGTTAAACCTATGATACCAAATGCACCTCCAGTCATTACCTAGATCCCCTCCTTTAATATTCTCTTCCTAGCCCCCTGTATTTAAACAGTCATCTATTGTTGTAAAGATTTGTGTAAGATGATTTCTGCCATGTGAAGACTAGGCATTACTTGCAGCCAAGGGTAATGGTTCTTCAGTCTCATACATGCCTAACCCTTTAATGACAACACGTATGCATGCATATATGTACATTTATAGAGGGTAGCGGGATTTCATCTTTTGCTAGTAAAATATGATTTATGGATAATTCGCAAGATAAATGTAAAATTTAATACAGATTATATTGAACAAAGCTTTATTTAACTAGTTTACTTTTTACATTGCTACATACCAGCAAGTAAGGTCATTGGGCATTTAAGAAAGCAGTAATTTCAGTAACCTACTGGACTCTCTCTGTAAAATCCTCTTTTATAAATCCTTTTGTAGATAGCCGTGTAACAAAAGGGTGTTCTGTCATGGCATACGCTAATACTTTCCTCCTCCTCTTATTCTTAAGTTGCTTTTTTTCTCATCTCACTGCAATCTGTAGGAACCAGCAAAATATATATATCCAGTAAAAGAATTGAAATTCTGGGTAGATCAAAACTGGACTGGTAGAAAGAGAAATAATTTAAAACATATCCTGACTGTCAGTGTTTTGGATATTTGTGAACCCTACATCCCATTCAGTAGAGCAGGATTGTGATGATGTTTTTTATATTGACTGCAAAATGCACATTACAGTTTAAATGAAGGCTAGGACGGTGACTCAGGCATAATTCTAAACCAGTCGCACAGTAAAACATCAAGGCATCCCCAATTACAGTTCTCCTAAGGAGGTATGAATTGATCTTAAAAGAAATTGTGATTTGCCATACTGTTTGTTAATAAAACGTACGCTTCCCTTCATTGCGAGGCTCTATTCGAACGTGCGTGCAGTACACAGGGCTCTATGGAGGCTGTGTTGCTCTGTCTTTTTAGTTTCAGAGATCTCAGTTTGAATCCAGCCCACATGGAATGACTATATCTCTAGTGATAGCATGCCACTCTGCAAAACTTCCTCATATAACTCCAGACAGAAGCTCTTTCTGAAGCTACCAGACGCACTGCATCACCTCACTACCCATCTTACAAAGGGTAGGGGATAGTGTGGGAGAATGAGTTTGGGGAGGGGTGGGAAGGAGTTGAAAGCATTAACTGCTACTGTAGTTCATTGGCTTTCATGACCAAAGGACAGCATTCATCCAAAACCAAACACAGAACGTAAATAACGCCATCACTTATAACAAAAATTAGATTTTATTATAGAATGGCTTAGGTGGAAAGGTTCCCAAATCAGAGGTAAGCAGCAGCTTTGAGTTAATGTTACCATTGAGTTCACAGGGCTGTAGCGTTCTAATGGCTCGCAGCACAACGAAGCTGTGCCCGTGTGTATTGCACTGCTTTGTGGGGTAATTTTGGTTTATATATACACACACACATGCAAAAATGTGAACGTTTTTTCTTTGAATAAATCATGCAAAATTATATCAATATTACAATGCGAAATCTGATTCTCCCCCCCCTCCCCCCCATACATACCTTATCAGATCAAAAAGCTTTTTCATTTGAAGCATATCACTTACAACACTAAACAACTCTCCTGTAATTAAAAAGCTCTGTTGCTGGATCCTGGACTCTATCTGCAGCATTTTAAAGTGTCTCTTAACTTTTAGGATTTTTTTTTTCTCTTGAATACCAAAATGATGCAGGCTGATGTGGTCATTTCAACTTTATCTTTTTAAGGAGAAACCTGTAATAGTGTCAGGGACACAAATACAAATGTAGTTTAACATTAGTTGCATCTTAATACAGTTTCACATTATGAGTAATCTTTTTGAAGGAGAAAACAGTGCAAGCTTGCATCATATATTTCAAGAGCGTTTGTGGGCCATAGGAACATACTAGTTCCTAGTTTTATAACATAGTATATTATAAAAATCTATTTTTTTCCTTTGAAAATTATAATTAAAATTAATACTAATATCTAGATTGGCCATAAGTCCAAAGAATATATAACACATTAGCTGCTGTCATGATTTCAATTAGAGCAACATAACTTATGTTTTTAAATTTTATTAAGTGCTTAAGCCTTTTTTATTTCTTGGTGGCTTGCCCCCCCATGACTGTGAAAGGCTTTTTTTTTCTTTTTCTTTTTCTTTTTTTCTTTTCTTTTCTTTTTTTTTTTTTTTTACAATTTACTCTTAACCTATTCACTGGGTATTAGACAACTCTATTAATTATTATAGACTGTTATTGCAGCTTTCCTGACCTTCACATTGGGTCCTATCTGCGCTGATCTAAATGCATTGTTTTAATGATTTCCAAAAAAAAAAAAAAAAAAAAAATTCAAGGCAAGCTTTGATGTGGCTTTAGCTGCCTCGATCGTCTGGCCGCATCTCAGAGATGTGTCACCTATGCCGGGAGGGAATAGGGAAATCACGTTTTGAATGGTAATGATAACATACTAATCACTTCCTTTCTTTGAAGATAGAAGCGAGATATTCTGTCAGCATCCCTGGCTGCTAGAGCTTGGAGGCACTGGTCTAGGTGTATTAGCTTAAGTGTGGATGTCAATACAGCTTGCATCTCCCAAGATCCATAGGGGCTCATTAGAGCAAGGTAGATCGTTTCGGTAGACAGCCACTCAGATAATATGTATGGCACCTCCTTTTTTATTATTATTAGAAAGCATTTCTTCCATTTTTAAATGACATCTGTCAACAAGACAAAGTTGTAGGAGATGTTTTTGACAAATACCCAAACTGTTTTTGGGGGTGAAGGAGGGGTTGGTGGAAGAGTGGATGCATTTGTGATTAGCTGATGCAATTTTTCTGACAGCTTGATTACAACTACTCTGGGATCAGTAGTCTAAAATGGAGTAAGACTTAGATTTTGAGATGGTATTTTATGGGTGGAATAAAGTGGTGAAAGTAAAGTAGTCATCTCACTTTTTCACTATTATAAATTCTAGTAGCAGAAATTTGTACCGTGCTATATTTTTTTTTTATTGAGTTCATAAACAAATCTTAAACCCACGCACAGTTTTTTACATGTGTGTATGTTTATATATACAGAGAGAGACAGAGAGAGAGACTGAAACCGGTGCATATATCTACAGGTTTTGTTTGTTGTTATACCTGCTTACATTCGGCTCTCCTACCGAAATCCATGGTGCTGAGTATTCTGCATGAGCAGAGTGCTATTTGTATACAGCATCTTCTTTCCTTTGTAGTACATGCAAAATTCAAATATGCGTCACTGAAAATTAAATCCGTATTAAAAATTACCACCTGCAGTAACATTGATGTTTCATGAAATTGCTGCTGAATAGAAAACATGTCTGCTTACCTATACAACAACACAAGGAAATGAATCTTAAAATTGATCTTCAGTGTCCACATACAGTAGTGACTATATATTTGTGTGAATTCATATCATAATAGTGAAGCAGATATTCCATGTTTGAAAACAAAAATGTTTGGTACACATAATTATGATTGATCGCAGAACCTGCCTCTCCCAGTTGTGCTTGTCAAAGGGTATTCCATGAAATATCTGCAGATATATATTTTTTTTGTTTTGGAATATGAAAGCATAATTAAAAAGTGGGGGGGAGCGAACATTGTAGACTGCCGTCTGATTTTTTTTTTCTTTCTTTTTCTTTTTCTTTTCAGAGGGCACATCTGCTCGATAACACAGAGAGGCTGGAAAGGTCATCTCGGAGACTAGAGGCTGGATACCAAATAGCAGTGGAAACCGGTAAGAATTCTGAGAGTGAGCAAATTGTCTTGCTTATGCACAGCAGTCTTCACAACACATGACATTTCAGGGAAACTTCAAAGGCGAAGCAGAGACAGCAGCCCGAGATGTGGTTTACATATTGGGGAGACAATTGGGAGCTTATTTGCGCTTATCTTTTTTCAAGTTAAAAGGCATGACATCTCCTGAAAACAGTTCCTGAGGTTTAAAAGTATACATCTGAAAAGAGATGGAATACTTTGTCTAAATTCTACATTTGTCTTAATATGCAGTTACATGTTGTCAGTTTACCCACCCGCAATGATTGCTAGCACATACTGCAGACTCCAGTTGTTTTCATCTTTTACTTTTATTCATATATGTAAAAATTATCATTTTAATAAATCTATAAGCTATTAACCAGAGACGATAAACAACGTGGGCGCCAACTTTCTTGAAATCGATTCACGCTTTGTATACCAGGAAGGTAGTAAACAATTATATCTTGAATTTGTAAAAAAAATTATTAAAATTAAGGCAAGACCCACACATAATTCAATATTTTAGTGTTAACTGTAATTCTTCAACTAGTACTTCCAAAATTTCTTCAAGTTGTACCAGTCCTTGATTTTTTTTGAAAACACAGCATTAATTAAGCCTCCATAGTCTAATCTTCTTAACTGGCTTCTGTAAAGTTACAGAAAGTTTCATATTATTTTAGTAAGTAGCAATTCTTCTGTAGCAAGTCCTGTTAATCCATATATCCTGATATCGTATAGCATCCTATATGTCTTATTTAAAATGTAAATTAAAATTTAATCCTTGTAAGGTTGAACATAAGTATCTTAACTCAATTATTTTATATTAATGTGTCCATATTTTAATTATTGTGGACTTCATGACACATCCCTTGAAAATTAATGAGGAAAAATTTGTGATATTCCTTTTTGGTGGAAAGGGGTGCAATTAAGATTTTTGTTCCTGCAGATGGCAGAATAGCAGAAATGGACGCTGTACCAGTAAATGGAGCATTGATGTCAATTTTCAAAATGTTGTCCTACCAATAGCCATAACTTTTGATTTAAAAGGACTGTCTTAATCAGGCAGAAATCCAACTCTGTATTGCTTTTGTCATGCTTGACTTTTTCCCAAGGAGAGGCTATGTAAAAAAATTCTGCCTATGTAGTTTAGAATAGTTATATTTGCATCTCCCACTCTTTGGCTTCTTTTTGTCACTGATGGCTCACCTGTTAAAACCAAATGTGTGCGCTGATTATTTATATACATAGAAATATGTTGTGGGGTACAGCCACAAATGGTGCTTACTATCATAATTTCATTGACTTCTGTAGAGGTTCACTAAGTTTCAACAACTGAGTTATCTGTCCCTGTGGGCTACCAGCTGTGATGGAAGGTGGTTTTTTTCTGAACAGTGTAGATGTTTTTATTTGGAAATGTTAGCATCCTTGGGAAGGAGGTTTCTGTAAAAGACTTCCCTAGGAACAGATGAATAATTTTTAGGTCTGAATGTAGGCCATGAAGATTTTGGAAACCAGTAAAATTGTACTTGATCAGTGCCATATAAGGGTAACGTTCATTAATCGTGAGTTACAATACGCTCACTGGGTGTTCTGGTGTGACACAAATGGAAAACTTCCGGTATTGAATTCTGCTTAATTACTCAGTTGGTTTCTCAAGCCTACATCTGCCATGATAATGAAATACTTTGGAATATGCAAATAGGAAAGGTAAGAACCATTGGGTATCTCTTGCATTAATACTTGTTATAACAATTATTATTTTAAATCTGCATAGCCTTTTGTAATGAATCAGGTGACTTTCACCACAGGCATACAAACCAGTCCACATCTATTTTAGAACTTTTTATAAAGCAATGTTTAAGATCTTAATCTGCAGTTTATAACATGAACAAGAAATATATTAAACCCTTTGTGATTACGTAGGCACTAATCTGACTTTATACAACCTATTTTATACAGGTCCTTATTACTACACGCATGAATTAGAAGTTTTTAGTTGTTTGCTTCGCTCGGTTGGTCAGCAGATAGGGCATTCTCATTCTTGGGTGCACAAACCAAGATCTGCTCAAATCAGATTTCTTTCTTTCTGTAGTAAAACACCCAGTTTCAACAACACCTAAACAACATATACTGCCATATCTAAGACCCAGTTTGAAGTTATCTGTCAAGCCTTTGAATGTTGTTGGTTATGTTTTGTGGAAACTGTGGTACTTGCATTTGATGGTGAAGACCTACATTTATCCATGTACAAGGCATCTAGGTAAAGTGTCAGGAATACCATAACCATCTAGGTAAAGTGTCAGGAATACCATAACCAATTAAAGGAAGTGATGCTGAAAGATGTGTGGATCCCCTGCACTGGGAAGACTTTCTCCCTTTCTTTTCATTATGGATACATTCTGGACTTCACAGGTGTTGGGCACCTGTGGACAACATGGTCCTTGAATTTTAAGTCATGGCACCTGTAAATGCCTCTTAGCAACTTAAACACATGGAGTTATCTAACTATATACAGGTAGCAAAAGCAATTACTTCTTGTAGCCATCGAGACTGTCCTTAATGAGTCTGCACTGAATAATGGCCAACAGCCTCATAAATGAATAAACGCTGTTCACTTCCATATGAAGGGTGATTTGTTGTTTTATTTTTTTATTTGGCTAATAGGAAGAAATATTGCTCATGGTTTTAGCTGTGGGTTTGTTGAGTTTTTTGGGGGGGGGGTTTCATTCTTACTTGCCATCAAGGTAAAACGGCAGACAAGCAGCTTGAGCTCAAGCTAGTAAATGTTTCCTGACATTTTTAAAGCTAAGCAATGGTAACATATTAAGCATGTAAAATAGACTATGTTAACTCGTTATTCATTGAGTTATCTCACAGTGATAAAGAGCTACTGCACTTCAGCTGTTATGTTCCTTGTCAGTGTGGTCACTCTTTAATAATGAACACCATATAATGTCTTCCTTGCAGAGATCTGAGCTCATCATAAACACTTGGTGTTTATGCCTCAAAATCCTGCAACAATTGTAAGCCCGATATACCTGTTTTAAACATAGGGAAACTGAGGTACACACAGTTCAGTGACTTTCTTGGTCTCAAACTTGTTTTCTGCTGGGATTAGAAACCAGCATTCCTACTTCCAGATCATAAACTCTGACTACAACATCCTGCTTCCTCAAAAATACATTGAGATCATAGTCACTGGCCATATATTTGAATATAAGCCGCTCTCCTGGGATTGATGGGAGGCTTCTTGCCAATTTGGAACTGAACATATTTTATAACTCCTTGCACTTAAATAATGCCTGCATTCAAATTTAATTCCAGACCTTCCTTATCTTCCCTATAGACTAGTTATAATTTGGGACTGTATCCTTTTGTCCATGCAGATTTATATAAAATTGCTTGAGACAGGAGAGCATCTCTGAATGTAGAACAGTTCAAAATGCCTTGTTCAGTTCATCTTCAAAAATATAATTTAAATTAATGTAATTTGTATTGTGTTATGTCAGTGAGAAAAAAACAAATCAAAACTTCTTGTGTGAGACCATAGTTTAGAGTGGTACAGCTTTCAGCAAGTTCTATTTGCAAAATGATTTCTGTACAATATACTGATGATATTTAGTCTATACCATGTTTCATGAATATTTAGAGAGGAAATACTCCTAAATGCTCTCCAGATTCCCATGATGAAATCGTATTAAACATACCTTTGGGGGTGGTGGGGTTTTTTAAATTCCTGAACCTTGGATGTGTCCACAAAATTCAGAAATGATCAGTTTTACCTATATCATTGTACATCTAGGTTCTGAATGCTGATTACTTGAATACATCTCTGAATGCAAGAGGAAAGGATTTTTTAAATCTTTTATTGGACTAACTACATGTTCAGGATAGCTGTAGACAAGCTGTGTCTCTGCATCTTTAGTCCTTGGAGCAACTTGAAATTTATATTTTAAATAGAAGAGATTTAGTAAAGAATATTTTTCCTTGCAGGGCATCTTAAAACTTTGACTGTTTAAACTTTGGACTATTTCCATATTCCCCTACTTAAAAACAAGCTCTCCATATGAAAATAAATTAAAGTAAAATCACATATCTATTCAGAAACATTTTTTCTCAATCTCAAATCTTAAATGTCAGAAGTTTGTCATAACATTTAATGCTGGCAGATCCCAACAACAAATGAGGCTGCTTTAGCTAGTAAATGTTCTGCACTTTTATGAGTCTGGAGAGTATGACAGGAACTTGAATCCCATTTATTGCTGTGTCAGCAGCCTGGAGTTGTCTGACTTTTATAAAAGTTGATGATGACAGTGTGAAACCACAGTCATAACTAGGGGCATACCTAAATTATAATGAGACAAAGGGATTTTCGTGGGCCACTCATGGTGGACAGAACCCCCCCGCTTTAATTCGCGTGGGGACCCAGCAGCCCCACCCCTCACTGATGATTGACCAAGGGGCAAAAATCATGGCATAATTCAATAGCAAAGTCCATGGAAATATCAAATAACTTACCTCATTATTATAGATCTAAGTATTAAATATAAATCTAAATTGAAATATATTATGGATATAAATTTATACATAATATGAATTGTAACTAATATCATCGTAACTTATTATTAGTGTTCTACCAAAAATTTAATAATCCTAAATCATGCTAACCTTGATCGAAACAGTTCTTGTTAGTTGTTAACTGCTAGCATGGAGCAGCCGCCAGCAGGTGCAGCTGACATCCTGCCTCTGTAGCTTGAACTCTTGTCCGTACACCGAGATCACGCGTTCTGCATCCTCTGAATTGGTCGGAGTGGTAAGGCAGCATTTTTGCCAAGTTGTAGAGATGTGGAAACCAATCAGAAGCAGACCCCCAAAACACAGTCACAGCCAAAGGTATCTGGCAGTCGTTGACAAAGTTCATGTAAGCAGCACTTCCTCCAGCCAGGAATTGATTTCAGTAGCTGAGGGTCAAAACTCAGA